TAACACAATTATAGAAGAGTAAACAGTGAGAAAAATGTACACACTTAACGTTTGATTATATAATGCACTGTTTGTGAGTCTTAGGTAGGCAATTTGACCCAGCATGGGAATTGTGGACTGCACTACTCAAAACAGGGTTTGATTTCAAGAAAATCTCGTCAACGAAAAATGCTCAAGATTTGTAACTTGTGGCTTTTTCCATCATGGCTTCTTAACTGAGGAACGAGCTATCAATGAAAATCCACATTCAAAATCTCATTGTTATTGTGGTTGTTTTCTATTTCCACTCCTTTCATGAGTGTGAGTGTTTTCATTCTTTGTCCAAGCAACTTTACTTTCTTAAGAAAAGTTATAATTGTATTATTCATCTAATCAATATAGAATGAGCAATGCTGCCATTTTTAGCTTGAGTAGTCAATGTTCATTTGAAAGCAAAATAAATGCAGTATTTCGGTGTATTGAAATAATCCCACTTCCTCGACCACAACAATGGAGCTGAACACTCCACCTTCATTCAAACACAGTCGGTGGGTGGCTGGAGGGTGAATGAGGTCACAGATAAGAAGTTTGAAAGATGTGTCGCCAGACTGAGGTGGGTGGGCAGGGAGGAGAGAGACAGAGTGAGAGAACATGAGGAGGAAGAAAGAGAGGTACGTTTTCATCTTTCTCCTTCCATAACTCTTTTCACAGTTTTTCTTCAGTCTCTGCAAACCTATAGAGTTCAGTCTTCCTTGATACTGTCAGTACCTCCGTGTTCTCTTTGCTTGATTTTCTAAACTCTTGTCAAACATGTCAACGCGTCAGGACCTGATCTGTTAGTCTGACAAATGACAATACACATACTGTAGAACACGTAGAACACTTAGACACATATAAATGTTGAGTTGTATGATCCTGCATAGGTCAATGATATCCATTCATGTATTACATGTATTCAAATAATGTGGCTGCTGATAATGCATGTTACAGCACACAATCAGATAAATGACCAGTGAAATAGAATAGCAGCAAGGTTTTACTTTATAAATGTAGCAAGATTAGACCAAATAAATAGCAGCAACAGCAAAGTAACTTAAAATGACGGCACTGACTTAGGTAACTGTCCAATCCGTTCACATCGTCTTTTCCATTAACCAGTCTTTAAACAAAGCCAAAGCCCATACCGTGGCCTTTTCTCAATGTCGAGTATACCTGCTGCAGAGCCACTATTTCAAGTATACTACGTCATCGAGTGGCGCCGAATGCTGGGCATTTAACATGCATTTAAACAGTCCTTCGGCGCCACTCGATGACGTAGTATACTTGAAATAGTGGCTCTGCAGCAGGTTTACTCGACATTGAGAAACGGCCAGTGTTCCCTTTAGTGTGTACTTCCTGTCTTCTTCTGCTGTTCTCTTCAGTGTTTACTCCCTTTCTGTCTTCTTCTGCTGTTCCTGTTAGTGTTTACTTCCTCTCTGTCTTCTTCTGCTGTTCCTGTCAATATGGTCCAGCTGCAGCCGCAGCAAGACGGTACACAACACGCCCCCTACACGACACGCCCACCTAACACGACATGTATTATTATTACTTTATAAATTAATAAGAGTACTAGGGGTCTATTTCAAAACCTTTGAAGGAATCGCATCAATTAAAATAAATGTATGGCAAGTATGATAAAATGAACATAATGTCAAGATATAGCAATATACAATCAACATGCTTGAATATAAAGGCAAGAAGAACAATAAGCAGATGAACATTTAGGTTTTATGTGTAAGTTGTGATAGAGCAAACCATCTTAATACATCTAGCAGTCTGACCCCTAGATTCCACCGGGTCCGTCTGCGCCGCGTTACGGCTGCGCCGCGGTTTTGGTCCGGCCTCCTCCGGCGTCATACCCTACCAGGCGCGTTTCAGAAGCATTTCAGAAGCGGAGCGTCTTGCCTGCCGGCTCGCAGTTTTTGTTGATTTGGGCATATTTCCTGGACAGGCTACTTTGTACAGACAAAGTTAATAATAACTGTAATATTCCAGTTATAAATGACATGAATCAAAGATGTGTTGCTGTATTTTAGTGGTAAAAAAATGCATTCATCATCATAATTATTCTATATATATAATTTACACAGTGCCTGTAAACCGGAGGAGAACGCTGGCATTTCTCCTCCTACTTGAAAGACTACGGAGGGATAGGGTCTGCAAAATTAGTTTGTGTGTGTGTATATATCTATATATATATGCTATATATGCTCTGAAGGTTCCACTTCCTGCCTGCCCGACCTTACGTTACGGCTGCGCCGCGACAAAAATAGGATTCGATCCTAATTTTAGAGGAGCCCTGCGCCGAGCCGCTTCTGGGACGCTTCTGAGCCGTAACGCGCCGCGTGTGGTGGAATAGCACCCATTGACTAGAGTGGCCGCGATCGCCGTGAGCACCGCGGCGCAGCCGTAACGCGCCCGTAACGCGCCCGTAACGCGCCGCAGACGGACCCGGTGGAATCTAGGGGTAAGACAGCAAACTAAGCTTCTTTAACTGCTGCTTGAACACAGTTTTACCGTGGGGTATTTCTAACAAGACCAAAAAGATATGCAAGGTTCCAAAACAGAAGAAACCCTCTCAATACAGTATTTTAATTTCCTTCGAAACGACAAAAGCACCAATAAAAACCAAATAACAATAACATAAAGGAAAAGTACTTGAAGTGGTTGCCTGTTATAAATACCTTGGTATCTGGCTGGATGATTGCCTCTCTTTTAAACTTCAGGTCAATAATCTGCTTAGAAAGCTAAGGGTTAGGCTAGTTTCTTTTTCAGAAACAAGTCCTGTTTCTCACTTGAGGCCAGGAAAAGGCTAGTCTCTGTGACCTTTTTCTCTGTGACTCCACCGGTGATATCCGTAATGAGCTACCTCCGTGCCTTACCACAGCATCTGGCACTATATCGGACAAGGCCACCATGTTAAATTGCTTTAATGAGCATTTTGTGTCCTGTGGCTCTCTGTTTGATTCTGTTTCTAACTCTGCTTCTGTGAACACCACAGTCTGTGACTCTGAACAATGTGGTCTGGAAAACCCTTTCAGTTTTACTCCTTTTACTGTTAATGTTGTTCATGAAGCCTTATCTAAGTTAGATCCTAAGAAACCGGCTGGCCCGGACAACGTAGAACCTTTCTTTTTAAAGATAGCTGCAGATTTGATTGCTCCACCTCTCACTACTCTTTTTAACCTCTCCCTCAGCACAAATGCAATTCCAAAAGTATGGAAGTCAGCTTATGTATTGCCTTTGCTAAAAGGAGGGGAGGCAACTATTTTAAATAACTATAGGCCAATCTCTAAATTGTCAGTTCTGGCGAAGATGCTCGAACGCCTAGTGAGTGAACAAGTAAAAGGAGTTTTTATGTAAAAATGATATCCTGTCTAAACATCAGTCAGGCTTCAGAAAGCAACATAGCACCATCACTGCCACAATGAAAGTGGTGAATGACATTACCAGTATTTTAGATAAAAAGCTGAGTTGTGCAGCTCTATTTATTGACCCGTCCAAAGCGTTTGATACCGTCGATCATCGCATCTTGAAGCAGAGGCTACTCAGTATTGGCATATCCAGCCATGCAGTGGGGTGGTTTGTGAACTACCTCTCTGTGTGTTCACTTTGATGGGCTGTCTTCTGAGTGGTTGAACATTGCTAATGGTGTTCCTCAAGATTCTGTTTTAGGTCCACTTTTATTCTCCATATATATCAACAGTTTAGGTGAAAATGTGGATGAAGCTACTTTAAATTTTTATGCGGATGATACCGACTTTGCTGCAGGTCTCCCTTGAAAAATAGATCGATGATCTCAATGGGATTCACCTGGTTAAATAAAGGCTTGAAATGAAATGACATCTGATGTTAGAAATATGAATATAAGACTAACAATTATAGTGTGTATCTTATAAAAGAATTCCTAGAACATCTTCTGAATAACAAGTTCTATTTGCAATGACCTAAAAATGGTTTTCAGCGCACAAGTTAACCCTTCTCTTGCGTTCGGTCATACCCCCCTTCCCATACTATTGTCGGTCAAAATTGCCCGGTGTGTTTTGCACAGTGATATTTCTGGAACCCCTTATCCCATTTTGATGGTTGACATTTCATTTGAACAGTCAAAGCCAGAATGACACCAGGGGTGAATTTCATGTTATAATGTTGCAATAAGTCAAGATATGTTTACTGTACATTACTGTATATTATAAAAATGCTTGCCATGTAGGCTGTGTTTACTGGAGAAATGGAAATGCTTTAGTTGGTGTTGTAGCTGAGATTCTTCCCGTTCCAATGGTGTATGGGATGTATTAATAATAATAATAACTTGGATTTATATAGCCCCTTTCATGAGACCCAAGGTCGCTTTAAAAAGAAGAACAGGAGTAGAAACAAACATAACAAAAGGCAGTCAGACGAACAGTCAGACAGACAAAACAACAAATAGATTTGGGGCCAAAGGCCTTGGCAGACAGATGGGACTTGAGGGCCCTTTTGAAGGCGTCAACCGTGGGGATGTTGCGGATCTCCGCAGGGAGAGCGTTCCAGAGAGTGGGGGCTGCCATACTGAAGGCTCTATCCCCGAAGGTTCGCAGGTTGGTGCGGGGGGCCAGAGTCTGAAGACCGCAGGTAGGGCATGTGGGAATTGTATTGATTTGATACAAGCAAGCCAGTGTTTCAATTAGGTGGGTTCACACCGGAGTACTTTGGTGTACTTTTCCCACAATAGTTCATCAGAACTACGATATATTTGCGTTCACACCAAAAAGCCCCAGGAACTAAAGTAGCTCAACTTAGTTCGCGAGACTCGCTTTTCAGTCCCTGCTACAGAGCAGGGTCTCTCGTGGGAGAAAGTAGTTCGTACGTCTGATTGGCTGTGCGGAATGCAAACCACGCCCCGTACAACTCCAGAAAAGTTGTATAAAGCAGCCATTTTACTTGCACGCATTAAAATCTCAGCGTAGCAACGAGATATTTTTTTGGAAAAACCAGCAGTTATGACAACACCGAAGAGATCAGTGGAGCGATGGACCGATGATAATGTTTCGGCGCTTCTAGATATCTACGCGGACGACGCGATCCAGGCACTTCAGCTCAAGGCAGTTTCCAACGCGAAAATGTATGAGTGCATTTCGCAGGAGTTAGCGGCCATCGGGATCATTCACGGCGCTAAATCATGCCGGGACAAGATCAAGAAGCTAAAGCAGGACTTCAAAAAACTAAAGGACCACAACAACAAGAGTGGTAACGGTCGGAAAACCAGCAAGTGGTATGATCGTTTGAACGCTTTGCTTGGCCACAGACCGTCATTCCGCGGCACCGCGGAGACCATCGACTCGAGCACGGCGGCGTGGGAGGATGCAATGGTGGGGGAATTGTCCAAGCACGACGACGACGAATTAGGTAAAATATACTACATGCACTGCACTGTTTTAATCTGCACAATAATGGTCACATATGTACTTCTAAGGCTCGGTAGATCGAGCTAGCCATGCTCGGCTGAATTGGCTAACAGCTAGCTAGCTAATCTCGGCCGCTATCTCATTTGCTTCACTAACTCATGGCACTAATCGAATGTAAAATATACTACATGCACTTTACTGTTTTAATCTGCACAATACTGGTCTCAGATGTACTTTTATTTGCTCGGTAGATTGAGTTAGCAATGCTAGGTTGAATTGGGTAACACTGTTAGCAGGCCACAACATAGCTAGCTAATAACAGCTAGCTAGCTCACTAGCTATTCTTCCGCTATAAAAACGTTTTGACTTGTGAATAAGTGTGCCATGTTCTGTAATTTGCTTCACTAACTCATGGCACTAATCGTGTGTTTCAGGCAACGTGGTGTTTCCCCTGGAATTGGAAATCAGTGAGATTTCCCCTCCGGAAATCCACGGTAGTGCCTCCTCATCTCCCGTTCCAACAACCAAACGCAAAGGTACATATAAACACACTGTAACTACTCTGGCCTTGAAAGAAGGTTACGCATCGAACTGATGTCCACTAATCACGTTTATTTATTTCTTGGTACAATCATGAAACACCGTGAACATACATGTTTACACTTTTCGCGCCCTTTTCACTCTCTCACAAACGTAAACATCCGGGGCTAGAGGTCACATGACTTCCGGTAAGAAAGCTCTTAATCATTTTTTTACCAAATAAAATTCTAGCAAGCACAAAACAATAAATAAGGGCACTTTGAGCGTCAGCTATTTGATCCTATCTTATATTAGCTAGTAAACACATTCCTAGTAAGTTGTAAAACTACTTATTTCTCCTATTAGGAAAGAGGACACGGGATGACCGCTTCCTGGACACCATCACGGCGATGGATGACCGGCGTGCCTTGGCCAGCACGGAAAATGAGGACCGGCATGCCATGGCCAACAAGGAGATGCACGACGAACGGCTGCTGCATGAACACAAGGCCCAGGAATCGCAGGACCAGCTCTTAAAGGTGATGGCTGACTCGGCGGCGCGCCAGGTGGAGGTGGCGGCGCGCCAGGTGGAGGTGGCGGCGCTCCAGGTGGAGCAACAAAATAGCTTTCAGGCTGGGCTTCTGGGAGTGCTAAGCGAGCTGGTTAAATCCAACAGGCCTCCAATTAAAAAGAGAAAAAAAACTTGTCGTCGTTAGTCAACTATAGAATGACTTGTTGGGAGGCGTGTGGCGCAGTGGCTGAGTGCGTTGGTGTTCGGATCAGGGGAGCACAGGTTCAAACCCCACTGCAGTCAGCATGTCGTTGTGTCCCTGGGCAAGACACTTCACCCCAAATTGCCTACATCTGGGACAGTCAATTTTGTATTATTGTAATATATATATATATATATATATATATATATATGCCACTGTTATTAATAGTGACACCTAACTTTGCACTAAGGTGTGTCTGATGCTGAGTCTATCCCCACATCTGGGACAGTCAATTTTGTATTAAAGTACATATATATATGCCACTGTTATTAATAGTAACACCTAACTTTGCACAAAGGTGTGTCTGATGCTGAGTCTATCCCCACATCTGGGACAGTCAATTTTGTATTAAAGTACATATATATATGCCACTGTTATTAATAGTGACACCTAACTTTGCACAAAGGTGTGTCTGATGCTGAGTCTATCCCCACATCTGGGACAGTCAATTTTGTATTAAAGTACATGTATATATGCCACTGTTATCAATAGTGACACCTAACTTTGCACTAAGGTGTGTCTGATGCTGAGTCTATCCCCACATCTGGGACAGTCAATTTTGTATTAAAGTACATATATATATGCCACTGTTATTAATAGTGACACCTAACTTTGCACTAAGGTGTGTCTGATGCTGAGCCTATTATTGTTATTTTATATATATATTGCCACTGTTATTATATTGTTTTGATACTACTGACACTTATTGATCTGCTGCTGATAAATAAAAGAGAACCTACATGGCGATGTCTTGCGTGTGTTGCTTATTTCTCCTGACACTTTATCTTTATGGTGACCTGTGTAGCATCCTATACATCACATGTAAGTGATTATTCTGATACCATCATGACACCATGAAACTGGCGAAGCTTTATTTATAGTGTCCCACCCCATACATGTGGCTTTGAAAAAGATCATTCCATTGTATTTCAAAATGGCGTCCATCAACACAAACACTATTTAAATAAATGGTTAAGTTTGTAATTAACAGTGTTGTGAGTTCAATATTTTAATTAATTATAGTAAGGGAACATAGGAGTTTGTGAACTGAGTTCCTCTCAGGAGGATATATAATAAAGGTGTTAACTGGTGAGCCTATTTACTGTGCAATACTACAGACATGTTAGTGGTATTATTTCTTATCTAACTCTTTCCTATGGTCAGACAAATCAGAAGTCATTTAAACTTAATTTGAGATTTTGTTTCTTTTTGTTTCTCAATTGATTTTCCAGAATATGCACCACCTAGGCATATACTTTATATCACAAATGAATGACATGTACTACAGTAATTGATTATATTGATATTGCCTACTCAGATATAGATGTGTATAAAAATGAAATCAATTCAAAGTTTCTTGCTGCTTTTAATGCAATTCATGGCTGCAGGGCACACGTCCAAAATCCTTGTTCTACAATCATTTAATCAAGACACTTGTGTATATTTGACTTTAATTTGTAATAAACAAAAAAATATGAATGGTTGTCATCATTGCTCAGTATTACTTAGCTATTTTAAAGTACTTAAAAACTATTATAAATATTGAAAAGTCATGACTGAAGTGCATTGTTCTGCTGACAGTATTTCTACTCAGTATTTCACCTGTATGGTGCGGTCCTGGGCGACAACACACAGTGAAGATGATCTGCTGCACGTACGTAGTTCTTCAGGTGTGTATGCTTAACATGTATGTATTTATCACAGTAAAGATGGTATCCAAAAGTTTTTTTAAGAGCCTTCAACCTCATCCCATTGTCTTTAACACACATTCAACATAATAATATACTCATTAATATACAAATATACAGTATGAGTACTGTTTTGATACTGACATTTTATCTAAGGTGTGTATGCACTATTGTAATTTTGTCTGTTGACTGGGGTAAATAAAAGAGAGAACCAAAAGTACAAAAGATCAGCTTTATTGTCAATTTACATGTTCAGATGCGTCATAAGAGCTGTGCGCGTGTCTTGCCCCCCAGCCTCAACAATGTCTGGCGCTGGCCCATCAAGCTGGGTCGCCGGTAAGGCAGTCCATTCCTCCCTGTACTCATCACCACGACGCTCACATAGGTTATGCAATACGCAACATGCTGCCACCTGGATTTTGATGTTGTCCATGTTGCAGTCGTTTTGCTTCATCAAGCACCGCCATCTGCCCTTCAGTCTGCCAAAAGCGTTCTCCACCACCACTCGTGCTCGGCTTGTTTTGCGGTTGTAGACATGTTGCTGGGGTGTGAGCCTTCCTTGGAAAGGTTTCATCAGCCATCTTTGCAGGGGGTAGGCTGAGTCACCAAGGATATAGTAACCCACATCATGTCCACCAATATTCTTTGTTACATGAGGAAGTAGACCACCTCTATCCACACAACTAACCAGTGATGACAAGCTGAACACTCTGCTATCATGCATGCTCCCTGGTAAGCCAACAAAAACACTCCAAAAGAGGCCCTTACCATCCACAACACCCTGCAGGACGAGCGAGTGCCAGCCTTTGCGGTTGAAATACTCGTTGTGGTATTCCTCTGGTCTCAGAATAGGGATGTGTGATCCATCTACTGCACCTACACACTGTGGCACACCCCATTTGCCCTCAAAATATAACGCCATCTCCTCTAACTTCTCAGAGTTCGGCCATGGCATGATCTCAGGAAGGAGTAGGCTCACAACAGCGGAACAGAACTCCTGCACACAGCAACACACCGTAGATCTGCCGACTCCAAACAAATGAGAGATGGTCCTGTACTCAGAGTTGGTCGCAAGTTTCCACAGTGCTATGGCGATTTTTTTAGGCACGGGTACACACTCCCGGTAGTTGGTGTTGCGTCTCCCCAACGTTGCTTCCAGGCGCATACAGAGCAGTTGAAAAGAGCACTTGGACATTCGGAAATCTTTGATCCACTGCTCATCGGTGTACGTTGGCACCACCTTTTCCCACCAGGCCGATGTTCTATTGTTCACCCAGAGAAAGCGCGGGACACGACGCGTTCCATAGTATTCGCATATCTGGAACACATACAAAGACACAAATTAGCCCTACATAACTCCATAAATCCTACATTAGATAGTATTAATGTGATTTACTGAACGTACCATTGCTGTTCTTTGGGCGTGATAACGGTCATCCTCCTCAGCTGTCCTACGACGAAACATGTCCAGAGCGTGTGCTTGTCACCGTCCAGTCCTTTTGTTAAGGCTTCTTAAACGCCTTCGCCTCCGAATCAGCATTGCTATTGCATTTGAATGGTCGTGTATTTGTGGCTGAGTTATTGGCTTAAATAACTCAGTTACGAAGCTGTGTAACACGAGCACCAAAACCACAACTTCAGTCAACTCCATAGCGTGTCTGACTGAGGTCGGAAGGTAAACAGAAGCATACAGCGGAAGCGGAAGTTTTTTTTCTTCTTCTCTCGGTTTTTTGGCGGATTGCAACTTTAAGGTGCATACCGCCACCTACTGTACTCGCCGTGAAGTTGTTTGCAGCCTGCCAGGAAAAGCTAAGCAGAAGAAGAAGAAGTGACGTCAGCGGCTCATTTGCCTAATCCACCCCCAGGAACTCATTTTGGTGTGAACGCGATCTGCTTTAGTTCGTCAGAACTAAAAGAACTCTCATGAACTAAAGTTCTCATGAACTACTGTGGGAAAAGTACTTGGTGTGAACGCGCCTAATGTACTTTCAACTACAGTATATGGTCCGGCAAGTTCAGCATTCACTGTGATGAATATAAAATAAGACACTGATACTGTTTTCCTCAATGAACATTTATTGAAAAATAATTAAAAAAAGACCATAACAGAACACCGTGTGTGTGTGAAAATCAGAGGGGCACCATCCAAGCTGATCTGCTTAAAAGATAATCCTTCCGGTCCTTAAAAAAATAAAAAATAAATAACCTTTTAAATGTATCCCAACAGCAAAGTCAACATGATTTAAAATAAAAATGTAAAAATAACATCCATGATTGACCTGCAGGAGGTTAAAGCCTATTTCAAAAGTCCTCAGAACCCAAACCCTTTGGCGCGCTTCCTCACTCATGTTCTTGGCGAGGTCATGGGCACAAAGTTGCTTCTCACTGATAAGACAAGATGGTATAAAGAAGTGATATATGTAATATTATAAATTCACATGCATCAGGGCTTGTACACTTCAATGGAAATTGTATTAGCATTCTCCTCATGTTTCCAGCTTACCTCCAGTCATACTCGGGTCCACATTTATATGTTTCCTTGGCTCTTTCAAGGGAAACCGAGAGTACAGCTGCGAGGGCGTGGATTGTGGCCTGTGTCATGAAGGGATTAAAGCCACACGTTTAACAGTTAGAGTAAAATGTAGACATCCAATAAAGGTTGTGCCATTCTGCAGGTGACAATTATGCCAGACCAATTGGCATCAACATTCTACTGGACATTGACCATGAGTTTAAGTGCAACATATGTAATTTTATATAATGTGTAGTCGACAAATACAAATAAAAAGTCAGTGAAATCTAACCTCAGGCAGAAGCACATCCATGATGAATCTAACAACCTACCCTCCACAATTCCAGTGACTGTGAGCACATCCATGACGAATGCCACCTCATCTGCGAACCTTCTCTCTGTCTGTGTTTTCTCAACCACTTGTAACAGGAATGACAACACTCGGTCCACCTGGTCATCATCTTCATTGAATATGATGACCCTTTCCTCCTTCTTTGCCCAAGGAGACTTGACTTGTCCAGTGATGATTGCCTGCAAATGCTATATTTTACTGGGAGAATGCTAAAAATATGTATGTATATTTCACTTTCATTATTTATATTGTGCTTAAAATGAGTCCCTTTACTTAGACATTTCAATTGCAAACTAACTTCAAGATGTTGCAGTAAGCCTTTGTCCTGAGTGATACAATCCATTAACAAGCCACTGGTCAGTCTTCGTTGGTGCTGAGCTTGTTGAGCCCTTGCTTAAAATGTAATTGACAATGCTTAAACATGTTAAATTCAACTCTGAATAAGTCATTTCCATGAACATTTGCACTTCCTTACTGACCTCAAGCATCTTGAAAGATGCGTTTTCGCCATCCAGGCTTCTGTCTTCTTTGTCCATGGTAACATGACTTTCCTTAATGGGTACACAGGCCAAATTCCACATGGAATTGGGCCACACATTATTGAGTGGAATGCTCTGAATATTAGATACTCCTGATACCAGGATGGGTTGAATGCAGAGTCTATTTCACTGTGTCTGCTGTGCTGTGTACAATTCTCAATTTCCATATGAATGGCGGATAGTATGTTTGTATGCAATAAACTCCATTCACACTAACCGACTCTTTAGGAAGGAAGCTGTAAGGCCTCTTGTTATAGGAGTGCTCCTCGTCAGTGTCCAGGGGCATCTGTAGACAGTCAACCATTATTTTAACAGTGTTTTACATGCAAGGTTTAACTCCTCCAAAAATGATCCAGGCTCGATTCAGAATGACACAGTACCACACAAAACAAATTGCATGTACCATAAGTTCTATGTAGTATGTGTTTTAGGAGTAGTAACCCATTCTGAAACAGGCACACAGGGTCATAGATACGTTGAGCGATGCACTGACCATGGTGCTGCTTGCATGCGTCCTTTTACGACTGATCCTAAATGTAGGTGGGACATTGTCGCTCAGGCTCGTCCTGCCTTCCTCACTATAGTGAGCAAACTTCTTTCCATACCTGCAATTAAGACACATTTATTTCACCAGACGGTTGAATTTTAGAGCCAGGTGTTCCCCCCAAATCCTCTTGATAATACAATTACAAATTCAAATGTTTTTGTAGCACTGCAGCATACCCTTCCAGTCCAAAGTTTTCCACCAGGAGAACACACCACCACCTTCTCAGGAGAGACATGTCATGCTAAAGAAAGAGCACCAATTTTCATGAAGTTTGTTATAGCATTTTAATGTGACTTCTTTCCTTAATACTTACAATGCTGAAGTCAAATACCAGGCATGTCATTTTATTAAGACATGCAAGACATTATTTACATGTGACGGCTTATAACTGTAGTGAGAAAGTAGTCACACACCTCCAATAAAATGTGCAGGGCTGATAACGCCACAAGAAAGATGCACGAGAGGCCTACCTACGTGAACGTTCCTTAAATCCTTTTATTATTGCACACCTTTTTATTTGCAAGTGCATATAGTGAGAACATTGGGATTCAAACAGAATGTTTGTCAGGTCTAAGTGGTGGTGAATCGCTATTGCATGCATTTACAAATGAAAGGTGTTAAGGAGCAATCAATTGTGCCATATCACTATATTATGGCCTTATCCTTACTCACCACTATCATGAAGACACCACAGTCATTCCCGTGGGTCTGCTTCGGAAGCCCCTGTATGAAGAAAAGTTAGTAAGAGCATAATAGCCAATTGTGACAATACGATAGTGACATTGCAAACACCTCAAAATCCAGAGCAGTCTTCTCTGTCCAGGATCCTGCAATGATTTTCTGTGCAACACCCCTGGGAAAGCAAGAGCAAAAATAGGTCAAACATCAGAAATTAGGAGTGAAAGAAAAAAAAGAGGGGGAACAAAACGTTGTTGCTTCAGATTCAGAACATGAACCGCCAACTGTAGTCCACAGAACGGAGAACACAGTTGTAGAAAATAACAGCCAATAACACGTTCAGACCATGCAAATAAAGTAAATCATGTTATTGGAAAAAGTTCAACGAGGAAGATTTCTCTCGGTCTCCCTTTTGATTGTGTTTGACACTTGGCTATTTCATTCAACTTCAGCTTTAAGGAAGCCAATCTTTTCTGACTATAACAATCCTTCCGTACTTAAGGACTACAGTGCCTCCTGTTTTTTTTTTTAACAAATAATTTATTTGTAGGCGGGTCAGGGTAACGTGACGGCCAGAACACACACATCCAGGGTAACCTTAATAGATTCCTGTAGGGCTCACAGGGGAAACGCCCTGTTCTTCTGAAATATTGCGAATCCAGAAAGAACAGTTCTTTCTGGATTGGCCTCATCACCTACAGGGAATATGCAGTCTGGACAATAAGCAAATAGTACACTTTGGGGGTAATAAAATTGCCTCAACAAATTCACAAGCAAATGGCATGAGTAATGAAAGTTAAGAAATTCACAACCACATCCTTTCAATGTACAACTGTGGATGTCATATACTGCATACAAAGTCTGTATATTGTCAGTGGGTATAATGAACGTACACACAGGAGAAAATGCCCTGGAACCCACAGTGGAATGATCAGGGCTTCCCTCTGATCAGCATCCTTCTGTTGAAAATGATGTACTGCATTATTAAAGTAATATACTAAAAGTAATTTAGTAATGTGGTGTTGCAAAATCGGAAGACCTTTTAGTTAAGTGTTTGGAAACCATTTAATTTTAGTTTAGTATTTAGAACCAACACAGCCAATGTGCACATATCCAATGAGGGGCATGCCAATTGTAAAGTTAAGGATAACATCTTGTCTACATGTCGGTTCATCATGTTTAATATTAGACTGAAAATATCTGCTCAATCATTCCACTTAGTGGGAAATGGAGCAAAGGATCACAGTTGGAGAGGGGGAGCCACGTTGGGGGTAGATGAAGGTCGCTAATGAAAACATCCTTTCCCTGTATAGAATTCAACCATACCTACATTTATGAAATGCTTAAAGAATGGTATGTAAAACATGTCTGAGTACCAGCTATGTATTGAACACAACTATGCATGTAAGCCATGACCTTTTCACCAAATCACATAAACTTTTCAGTCTAAAAATATCTTGCATAAATAAATACAAACACACCTGCATATTAGCCATGCCTTGGACCAGCCTTAGGCACCCATTTCCTACCTGTTGATATCGTTTACAGACAGTGTCAGACAATGAATTCCTGACATATTTTTATCAAAATATACCTTCACCACTAAATTGGACAGTTGTAACGCACCATTGAGTCCATGGCTGCTTCTCAGGTCGATTAAATGGAATCCTTGCGTCCCTCACTTGCGTCGTTTCCCTGTGTTTAGTCCCTCCCACCAGGGAAGCATGGAGAGATGCAAGGAAACCACGAGAAGTAGGGAAATGAGTTTTAAGAGCAATGGGACGTCCTTTCCTCCGGAGCGTCACGTGAAGCGACGTCCGTTTGTGATGACACTGCACAGCTGATCGTCTGACAGCTCTGTCCCCGTTATTTTTACAA